AGAAGAAAAAACACATGTAAACATTATCTCACTAGCAATAGTCCTACGGCGAAGCAATGTCAACTTACAAAATTGAAGGACTAAGATTATGACGTCAGATTATGTGATCATCAGATTGGAGCAGGCCTGTAGATATCTAGTTGGCCTTGCCACAACCCGACTTCCATTTCTTTCATGCCAGTTTTGTTTTGGCCCCCTGTCTTCATCATCATGACGTTTAAATTTTTACTTAGGTATTCCTTCTTCTTAAAACGCCTTTTGCATCTCCTTTTATCGAGCCGGCATACAGCTAGTTTGTAATATGAGCTAGGAAGCTACAAATCAACGGAACAGGAAGATTCAAATCTCCCACTTAGTTCTTTAGGTACCTACTGTTGTTGCGAGTTTAGCGTAAGGTATCTGAATTAGCTTTCTCTTTCGGTGGCACTTTGCACTGTGTTGTATTTTAACGTTTTTAGTAGTTTGAAGTATAACTACTGATTATATTGTTTGATACTGTGAACACGAATATCTCTGAAGAAAATTCCAGCATTCCGATATGTTTCTTTTAATAAGAATACATTTTATATTAACCTATTATCAGACTTGTACATTCAATCTTTTACGGATGATTTAACGATGGCACGTGATTGGTAATGAATTAAAGTTACCATTTTACTATTTTTTCCCGTTTCCGGAAAAACTTTCTGGACAGTTATAAGTGTTTTATATAGAGAAAGTAGAGGCATAAAATACGAAATTTATGTGTGCATTATAAATATCCTTTTTGTATGTGTTTCTAAACACTGGCTACAAAAGCACTTTACCAACATCGGAGCCAGCACAAATTTTAAATGGGTTGTTCTATGTGCTGGAAATATCCGCCCCTCTTTAAACTGAATGCTTTTTTCCGCTCTCTTACACTTTTGTGTGTGCATGTGTGTGAAGAATATGTTTGTTTCATTATTTCTGTTTTTATTGTCGGTTTCTATGAACTAAAGATTTTCAAAACTGTCGAATTTGTTCATTTATTGTAGCAGCTAAGCGGCCAGCCTTCGTCTGGCTTTTAAATGTACCGGGAAAAATGCCTAAAGGGAATACAAAATTTAAATTTAAAAACTGCGCGGAATTTTACTCTACAGAACAACTTTATCAAAAAAAATTTTTTAATGTATTACATATAACAAAATTATAATGAAGTAAGCAATATCCCTTAATACAAATATTAATTATCCTAATAAATAAATTAACCAACTTCCCGTTGCAAAATTTTAATTCAAATGGGTATAAAGGAAGTTAAGAACTTTATTTCCTAAAAAAAAAATCATGCAAAACTTTTTATATAACTAAAATTATATACAATTAAAACATAATATAAAAAATACAAGAAAATAAGCAATAAATCTCCTATTTTCAGGAGGAAAACAGTCAGCAGTCCAGTATAAATGGCAATGAATGAAAAACTTGCCAAAATGACATTCTAAAATAATGAAACTATCATCAGAAATGAATAATTAATCAAAATTGTGCTTTGTGCATGGCATAATTCAAAATATACAAATCTTTTTGCCATTAGCTAATAAAGAGAGAGAGAAGGGAAAAAAAGGAAATTCTTTCTGTTGTGCCTCGCGAGACACATGCGCGTCAGAATAAGAAGACTAGGATCTGCGTGTTGCATGTCCAAAAATCTAAAAAGCAGCATTTTATCTCATGTTTTCAACAGTCAGTAGTGCAATATACAAAGCAAAAACTGTTGCCAAAACCACATTTCTAAAAGAATGAAACTCTTCAAAATGATGCGATAAAATCTAAAAGATAAAACAAAAAAAAAAAAATCTGATTCGAATTTCAAAAAAATCGCTTCGAGGTGCACTGGCTCTTGTCTAGATGCACCTATATACCAAATTTCGTAGCCCTGGGTCTAATAAGGCAGACTCTTTTATTATATGTAGAGATCATATCAGTTGTAAACTCTCTCAAAATTTTAAAACGGTGTAAGGGTGATGAATGATTTACAAACTTCATAAAAAATTAACATAATAACATTATTAAATTTCGTACTTGCTTTATACGTTTATTACAGACGCTATGTGAGTTAATAGTGCCGCCATCTATGATTTATTTCGATAACTGAAGTTGTTTCTCATTTTCAGCTGTAGATGGCAGCACTAATTAAACAGAACTACGTTGTACGTTTAGATAAAGAAATAAATCTCAATTAATCTTTAAATAAATGCTGAAAATAAAATAATGCTTGAAAATGCGATTTTTTTATAGTTTCTTTCAGATTTTAATTTAGTTCAGCATTGGTAACTTTTATTTTCCTTGTTTTCGAAGTTGTTTTAATCATCTTGAGTAAATTTCGAAATTTTTACTCTTAGTTTTCAAAATTATATTTTAGTTGTAGTAGAAATATTGCTTTAAATATGCCAAACTGCCAAGTTTTATAAAAATCGCAGGAATAATTTTGAAAAATTAGCTCTCAAAATTTTAGTTCCTCCATTTTAATTGAATTTGGTATATACTTATTAATATCTCTTTTTTTATTAAACTTATTTGATTTTTCTCTTCACATTTCAAAATTTAGGTTCATTCCAAATAAAATTCGCCCACTTTTTAAAAAATTATTTTTAAAATATGTATTTTTATATACTTTTTTCGAAAAAAATGTTGAATTATAACCTATAAAACGTTTACTACCAATCTTAAGGTAGATGTATTTCTAAGCATACCTGCAAAGCATTAGAGTTTTGTATTCAAAATTTCCTAAGATGTACGTGAATTTACATATTGGCGCGTTTCGGAATTTGGCATATTTGTTATAAGTGGTAATAACGTTAAATTTGGTTTACACGCTTTGTCAAAATTATTTGAAAGTATGAAGGATAACTTTTTTTCCGCTCGTGTACAGTGAAAAATGCAAAGGAAAATAGGTTGCTGTAAATTAAGAAGTTCGCCAAGTGAATTATTCTTGGCGGAAACTGAAAAAAAAATTGCACCAAGATAAATTTTCAAATTTATCACCAAAAATTACAAAATTTTATATCTAGGCATAATTTGAATAGTAGAATCGAAATATGGAAAAAAATTGGTACGTTATTTCAGAGAAAGTCGGATTTCGTGTCAAAGCATTTATGTTAGAACAATGCTATGCATAAATCTAATATATATCCGCACTTTCGAGACATAATAAGTCGCGTTTTCCAGACATGGAAGTCGCGTTTTCCAGACATGGAAAACGCAAGTTAAATTTTGGCAATCGGTTCAGTAGAACGGGAGATATAAAAAACTATCCTCCCCCACACTTTTTTTTTTTTTTTTTTTGGCAAGGTGTACAAACTATTGAAATACTCCATGATTATAATTCAGTTCAAACATGCGCGAACATGCACTAGCACGCGGTTACTGCAAGTAGAAAGAAATATGATGTGAGTGACTAGTTTCTTTGCTGAGAGGAGAAATAACTTAAATAGAAACATATAAAAGAAGCACTTTAATAGAGGAATTTTTTGTTCATATTAACATTTCACTGCATCATAAATAGATAACAATCTTATAATAAATATGATAGTGGGCGAAAGGATAATGATGATAAATGTTCTACAACAAGAAGAATGTGGCAAGAAATAAAGCAATGCAGTATGCTCTTATACCACTTTTATTAACAGAAGTATAGCTGTTGCTTATAGATATACACATGCGTGAACGCTAAATCACTAGATTTCAATAGAATACTGAATTTCGAAATTTGAATAGGAAGCAATTTTTAAGATGTATTATCTAATCTCTACATTTTCTCCTATAACAAGTGTGGAGACAAATTTCGGGTTTTGGGAGAAGTTTATGATATTCAGCAATTCATCCAGAACAAATTGGTAAAAAGATTATAAAAGTTACAAGAAAGCTGGATTTATAAATCAGCATTGCCAACATAGAAAAATTAATAGATCACATAGTATTACAGATTAACGCTGTTGAAGACTCGATTAATTTTCAAAAGGAAGGATTTGCAGTAAAGAGGAATATTCAGAAAACAAATGGAAAAAGAGAAATCATCAAAAGTTTTACAGTGAAAGAATTAGCTGGAATATTTTCAAAAATGAATCAAACATTCCAGTTACCAGAAAAACTGGAAATTTTCACTATCCTCTTGTATCATTTCAGTAAGCCGAAACAAGATTAGAAACACAGTTGGGTTTATGACAGAATACATAAGTAAAACAGAGCAGATTAAAATAAAACTATGAATACGTAACATTAGCCTGTTTTCTGATTAAAATGACTCCAGAGAAATAACCATATCGTCCAAATAAGTGGCAAAAACTCATTTGTTGATTTTAATTAGGCGCCATTAATAACGTTTTAGTCGGTGTACCTTAATTAATATTCAAGAAAATTTCAGATTAAAGCAAATGCGCCATTTTTCATTAATGTATATGCATTTTTCTTAAATCTGTTTGTTAATATTACAAAATATGGATTTACATGAGTGTAAATAATTTATAAATGCATATTCAGCTAAATGGATTTGGATTATTCAATTATGGCAAAGCACAGGAGGGTTATCTGCCTAAAGGAAGGAATGCCTTCGTGGAGGACTTTCTAAGAGAAACTGGCTCGTATACACGTTACACATGGGGAAAACCACGAAAACGCCCATGCAGCCAGCCCGTTCACGGGATTTGAACCTCGGAAAGAACTACCAGTGTTCAGCGTCTTACCGCTCGGCCGCTGGTGGGATATTTAGCTAACTGAAACAAGCAAATCGATAACCTTGTATTCGGCGTAGATTTTGTAAAATCCCAATCGATTTCGAGGGCAAAATAGGTCACCCTTCAATGTACGTCGATAAATCTACGTCCAATACAAGGTTGTAGATTTGCCTGTTTTATTTTCCACGTCGGCATGTTTCTCTTGTATCTTGACATATTTAGCTATTTTAAGTTAAATATAAATATAATTTATAAAAATAGATATAATAATTATGATATCGCATCAAAGAAAAAAAATTAAACTCGAGCTACAGCAAAATTGATTTATTGAAATTATTAGAAAAAACATTATAGATTATAGATTATTGAACAATTAGCTTTATGCAAATATAACAAAGGATACAGAGGATCAAATTCAAAATGGCTGAAACTGTTACTGGTTTCCGTGAATATCCTTGTAAAAATCAGTAATTGGAATTTGTCGTTTACCATCTTTCTGCTCTGCCAACAGTTCTTTATCAATGTTATTCAGCAATCTAATTATTCTGGAAATTAAATTATTATCTAGTTTTCTTCCTTCCAATAATTCTTGTGATGTAGGTTGAGCTCGTTTCTTAAAGCGTTGAGTTGTTCCTTCAAGGAGATGACGTCCAATGTGTAGCGTCGCACTATTGGTAGCACTGGGGGTTTAGGCTTCCCTCAGGCGTGATGTAATAAAAAGTAACGGAAAACATCTGGACTGAGTGGACTACTTATTTTCTGTTTAATGATATTCTCTGCCACTTCAGACAACGTCTCATCCCTTAATGTTCTTTCATTCAATGGGTCTAAAAGAAATGTAAGTCAAATTTAGATAGTAACTTTTTCCTGCATAGAAAAACAATTATTTTTAAAACATGCAAATGCTTTCAAGTATGTACTAAGAAGTTGTAATCTACAAAATGTGTAAGATACATTAATTTTAATAATTAAAACACGTTAGCTTTTTAAAGATTGATTGCAAATGATAAGATATACTTATTTTAATAATTAGAATACTTTCGTTTTTTGAACATTCAATTCAAATGATAAGGTATATTTATTTTAATAATTAAAATACTTAAGTTTTTCAAAAGTTGATTTCAAATGATAAGCTTTATTTATTTTAACAATTAGAATACATTAGTTTTTTAAAATTTGATTTCAAATGATAAAATATATTAATTTTAATAATTAGAATATGTTGGAGAGATATTAAATTATTTTGAAGCAGGGGTTGTGAAAAATGAGCAATGTCCTCGCCGGCACTCGAACCTGTACCTCTCGAATACGTGCCGAGTGTGCTACCGTTACACCACGAAGACATGCAGAGAGGATGAAGAAAATACTCCCCCTTTTTAAAGGGCGACTGTGGGTTAGAGAACCTAGTCACCAAATCCTGGTGTTGAAGAATCATTATCCGCCACCTATTAGTTCGGGCGCCACTGTAAAGCTATTCGGAGACATGAAAAATTAGCAACGCCCTCGCCGGGACTCGAACCTGGACCTCTCGAATGCAAGTTAAGTATGCTAACCGTTACACCACGAAGGCATGCAGAAAGGAGGGAGAAAATGCATAAAATATCTGAATGCGATGTAATACTAAACAAGCATTTTCTGAAAATGTAATAAATACGTTATACAAGCGATTGGTTTTAAAATATTTAGCACATATGTGCAAGAAATTGTAACGAAAAAAAAAAAAAAAGAGATTTTTCTTGTGTTTTTTAATATAATTTTCATGAAATGTTTGTAGAAAGTTCATTTGAGTTGTTGCTGTCGTAATAGAAAGATTATAAAAATGAAGTGGACGGTACAAGATAGAAAAAAATTAATGTTATTTTGCCTCTGTGTTTGAATCCTAAAAATTTTAATATACATACATATGTTTAAACTGTTTGGAAAGATAGAAAGAAGAGGAACGAAAAGTAGATGAACAAAACATCTTGCATGTATTCTGAACATGCTGGGAGAAGAAATGTTTCTACATATTTGTATTAAAGATGGAAAAAGGATATATGATTTACGTTACTTTTGGAGAAATGAAACTGATTATTTGAAACCCGAAATTATTGGAGTACAATTAAACCAAAATGAATTTAAGAAAGTTGTTATCAATGTAAACATGTAATCTAAAGAAAAAAAAAAAAAAAAAGATATGGATAAATTGCAAAACTCTTGTGTTTTTTCTCCTCTCTTCCTTTTTTCTATCTTTATTTATTTATTTATTTATTTTGAAAAAAGCACACTTTTCATTCTATAGTAACATTTTTTTAATTGTACATTTAATTTTTTGCTCTAAAAAATTCGAAAAACCATATTACAATCAAATCTTCAATAAGGGTGCGGTATACTACTTTGAAACATTTTTTAAAAAGAGAGAAATCCACAGCCATAAAAACACAGCTATAACAACAAAAAAACTCATTTATTCGGGGAACACTAAGTGGAGATGAGATACATTACCTTCCGTTGTTGTTAAACAGTATTAAAAACAATTTATAAAAAAAATCTTTAAAAAAAAACACTGTTGAAAAGATGTTAAAGTTAAAACATCCAAGTTCGTGTTTGTTTGTTGGTCCGAGTCAATCTGGAAAAACATCACTAGTTCTACAAATGATAAAAAATAATATCTTCGATATTCCGAAACAAAAAATTAAGTGTTATTCATATAGTGCACCGTGGTTTCCAGAAGAACCAAATATTGAATTCATACACGGGTTGCCAGAAGTAGTATATGAAAATGGAGATTTGATAATCATACATGATTTAATGCATCGATTAAACAAAAAAATTGCAGATTTATTCACAGTCGCATCTCATCATTGCAATATCAGTGTAATACTAATACTTTATATCATCACTCTTTCGATTTTTACAAAATATCTGTCTTCCGTGATATCTTCGATTTTTATAAAGTACCTGATTCTGTGTAGAAGAAGATGCAAGAACTGGAGCGTATTTATAGAATACTGGTTTTTTTTTAAATGGGAGAGGGGGAGGAGAATGTATTCATAATAAACAGATTAGAGAAGATCGCCGCCGATCTAGACACCACTTTGACGTGATAAATGGTTGTAAAAGAAAAATAAATTAACAGATTTAAGTAAGTTTGTTCGTTTGGGTCTTCATGCTAATTATTCTTATTTTCTAAATATGTGTACTAAGTAAAGTTTAATAAATGAAGATGATTGTGTATTAAATATATGTAATTTTATTTTTAAAATTTATTTTATTTTATAATAATTGGTTTATTTATTAATTAAAAAGCTTCCTATTAAATGGCTATATTTATATTTTACAATTATCTGAAACTCCTCTGCTTATTTTATGTACTTAAGAAATTGTCCTAAACCAGTGGTCTTCAAACTTTGTCGGCTGGCGGAACCCTTAGAGCTAAAGGTTTCTTTCCTGAAACTCCGATCCCACCCTTAGAAAATATATTTTAAAACTATGTTTAAAATAGATATGTTTTATGTAAAGACAATTAAAGAAAGTACTGTATTTTTTGTTATAAACAAATTTTAACATAAAATCAATTTAATGTACTCATTAATAAGATTGACTCGTTCTCCATATCTTGCTTACCCTCGCATTATATTTAGCGACCGGGGTGTGCTTGCAATTTTTTACGCAAACTGTTGAAGTGTGGCACTACTGATCAATGATTTGCAATCGCGTTTCACAGTCTCCCTTTAACTCACGCCTGTACTTTGTTTTTATTCCCACATCCGATGTGACAGGCTTTTCAGTTCGAGAGGTACAGGCTTTGATAAGTGCCTACTCCCAGCCAGTACTCGAAAGAATAGTACTTTAAAGACTGAATTTTTACATTCATGCTAATAAACTCATAAATACTAGGCAATATGGCTTTATAGCAGGAAAGTCAGTGGATCACGCACTGAATCACCTACGGAACACGGTACTTAGAAACAAGCAGAATAAACTGCATACTGCTGTCATCAGCATAGACATTCAAGGTGCCTTCGATTCGTTGTCGTGGCATGATGTTTTGAAATGTCTCAAAGATTTCAATTGCCCCCAAACTTTATTTGATTTGATCTACAGCTACCTGAGTGAAAGAAGAATTCAAGCTACAACGGACGGAGGCGTCCACATGCAAAAGGTGACGAAAGGCTGCCCGCAGGGCTCCTGCCTAGGTCCACTTCTGTGGAACCTGGTAGCAGATACCGCGCTCAATTTGTTTGATGATGATAAAACATCAGAAATAATAGCGTGTGCTGACGACTTCTTGCTTATTTTAAACGGTCACAGCCGTAAAAGTTACGAGGGTAATTCCCAAAAAGCTTTAGACAAAATAGTCCGCTGGGCCAGTGAACATAAGCTCACAATTTCAAGAGCAAAAACAAAAGGAATGCTGATTAGCCCAGGAAAAAGGCACGAGCGTACTCCGTGCGTAAACCTTCATGGCAGAAACATACAATTCGTGAGACATTTCCGCTACTTGGGTGTGATTATAGACGACAGATTCTCCTGGCTTCCTCACATCAAGGCTGCATAAATTGTCTAATACAATGCGAAGAACAGCTGCTGCTAGATGGGGTGTCCCCTCGCATATGCTCAAGATATGGTATGCCACAGTCGCTGAGAGCAGTGCTCTTCATAGTGTTTCCATATGGGGTGTAAATGTTACGATTAACATGCAACATGCATTGAACTCCGCGCAAAGAGCATTTCTTCTGGGCATCTACAGAGGATTCCACACCTCTCCAACAACTGCATTAAATGTATTAGCAGGGTTTGCACTTGATAATGCAGAGCGAGAGTGTTGTGGTGAAGGTGATCAGATTAAAACTATTTGGAGTAAGACTTATGTATCCTCAGACTACGAGAATCACATTGCCCACTCTCCTTGCACCCTGCAGACTTCGATATAGAAACAAGCAGTAATCCTCCAAGTGCATTACAATCCTCAGCCGTCTATACTGATGGCTTCAAAGGAGAATTCGGGGCTGGCAGTACCTGGTGTGCAATGCACGGTGACCACATAATCCATTCCTGGGCTAAGAAGCTTCATCCCAGTAACTCGGTGTTTCAGGCAGAACTTACAGCCCTAAAGGCAGCTCCGGATTTTACTGCTAGCAAATGGCAGGTATAAAGTAATATACACAGATTCAGTGTGAAGCTTGCAGGCCATCCAGGACGGCCGCAGTAGACATTCCATTGTCAGAGACATACAAAAACTATTAATTTCGATTCCTGCAAGTCTAAGGCCCAAGCTTCAATGGGTTCCAGCCCATACGGGGATTAAAAGAAATGAAGCAGCGGATGTGATTGCGAAAGGCGCAGCCAATGAACCCCACGTGAGTAGCATCAGTGTGCCCCTTCCGCACTCACATCTGAAAACTACTCTAAAAGGTGAACTAATGAAGCAATGGCAAAACTACTGGGAGACAATCACTACAGAAAGAAGACTGTATAATTTCCAACCAAAAGTTAACCAGAATTAAAATAGCAGCTCTTTGCACTTAACACATATCTGACAGGGCATGGCCCATATATGTCCTATCTTCACAGATTTCGCCTAAGAGACAGTGACCAATGTATTTGTAGCAGTACTGGTGATCCAGATCACTATCTGTTTAAGTGCCCGCACACGGCGAATTCACATTTAAAAAGACCAGCTGTAGTCAATATGTCGGCATGGTTCAAAAACACAATTAAGAATAAATATGCGTTCAGCCACACTAGAGACTGCACTACCATTGCTAAAAGCATTGCTGACAGCCTGGAGTGACTTCTTTCCTTGGATATCATGACGTCAGCAGCCCGCTCTGTACATACGTTAATTTACTAAATGTCTTGTTTTTTTGTTTGTTTGTTTTGTTTTTGTTTCGCTTTGTTTTGTTTTTAATTATATTTAATTTTATGATTAATCCAGAACTCTTTTAAGGTATCCCACAATTTGTAATGTATTTGTTCATATTTACTTCTGTACCGGATTATATAGCTTATCCTTATTATAACTGTATGCCTAGCATGTACCATAATAGTGTATGCCTAACATGTTACATAATAAGTGTTCCCCTTAGTCTCAGCAGTCTCCACCATGCACCTTCCTTCCATGTTCTGGTCCTTATTTCAATGTTCCTCGTTTAGCGTGGTCAATTGCAGGAGGACACAGTACTAAGTACATAAATTACATTTATTTATGCATTTATTTTTAATTCCATCAACGGGATCCAACAGGCTGAAAAGCACCTAACCAAGTGGGCCAGCTATTCCGTCGATGGCGAAAGGAAAGAAAAGGCTTTGATAAGGTACTTTCTCCTGCCTTTCCGCATGCCTTCGGGGTGTAATTGGGAGCATATTCCACGTGTATTTCGAGGGGTCCAAGATTCGAGACCCGGCGAGGGCACTGCACATTTTTCAACTCTCCTGCTTCAAAAAATCCTAATGACTCCACTGTTAAATACGTTGTTCCGAATGGCATTAAAATTTTTTCTAGCTAAGTGAGAAACTTCTGAGCATTCTTCACGAATCTACAATGAAAAATTTAGGATCTCTTGATTAAATTTAGATTTTAACATC